AACAAAATTGTTTGGTTTGGGATTCACCATTTTAACTGCAGTTTGAAATCAAACTGAACCTTTGAAGAATTGGAAAAATAATAAAAATGAAACAATAGAATTTATGGGAAAATTGTACAAGTGTTAGAATCCTAAATTTCAATTTTAATCTTCAAATAAAGTTATGACTATATATGTTTTAAACTAAATACGTGTAATTCATATTTTGTTTAATTTATTATGATTTTATATTATCTTTTATTTTGTGTAGATTTAGCCTAAAAAGGTAAATGGTCACTTTGCTGTTAGTCTTTATTGTGGTTTTGTTTGTATTTACTTTTATACTTTGTTTTATTTCATTGTCAATAAAGTATAAAAAATTAGTAATAAATGAACTAGTCACACTAAAGTGAATGGGAAGGAAAAAAATATATGGTTAGTTTATATTACGAACAAGAATTGTTTGTAACGAAGAATAAACCAAAAATAGAAAAAGCATAATGAAATTTGTAGGTTAATTCGTGGAAACCTAAACCTCCGAATAGTTTAGTATTTCAAGGAAACAAACCTCCGAGATACAACAATACTTTTGTAGTTATTTCTCCCTCTTCTCTTCTCATTTCTTTTCTTTTGCTTTCTTTAAATGGAGATTTAAAATACGTAATCCCACTAACCCAACTAACACATAACGCCAAATAGTTAGCAAGAAATACAGATATGACATGTAACTACATTTATTCATTCTAATTACAAATGTAAAACTGAAATCTTACAATCCTAAAATAAAATTTTCTTTACTAAAAACACAAAATAGACCCATAGCAGTCATCCCCTTGAAAACACCCCCGCCTGTTTCCAATTTATAATTAAATTTGACAATTCTTTGAACCTCTTTTGAAGATGCTCATTTGAATCAATCGTATTTTTCATCTTCAAGTTTGAAGAGATTTTTGGTTGCCCCTCAACACAAACTTTTGGTAAACTGGGATAGAGGGAAGTTGACCCCATTGGGAAAGTAAATATTAAGGGAGATGGGAACATGGGAGGTTTGATTTGTCTTCCTCATGATTTTATCACTTTCCTCACCAATTTCCTTGTGAACCAAGGATAAATGAGTGAATCTATTCCGCTGCATAAGTCTGAATTTCCTTGCATATTCTTGCTGCCCTAGCTGAGTTTGTGAACTTGCAGCACCAGAAGTCGCCTTGTTACAATACCAGAGCCACGAGGAAGGAAATCTTGCACTACTACGCTCTTCATCATAGGCGACTTCCTAGAATTCTTTATAACGCGAATTTGTTGAGCACTTTGAATTTGAAATGGCATCACAATATTTTCTCATTATTATACAGTTTCATCATGTGTTCGAATCGCCACACTTCGAGTTTCAATCAAAGATGTAAAATTTTGTTCAGCATGTTTGGTATCGCGATCACTTAGTGATTGATTCAATTTTGCATCCAATTTTTTTGATATATCATCTATCTTGCTTGAAAATTTCTTGACAAACTCTTTTTGTTCAAAAATCATATATTGCACCATATTCGCAAGTCGTTGCTCGAGTATTCAGATTCACTTCTTGCTTTCTTGCCGACTCTAATACCATATGTTACGAAAATGAATTGTTTTTAACTAAGAATAAAACAAAATAGGAAAAGAATAGTGAAATTTGTAGAACAATTCGAGGAAATCTAACCTTGAATTATTTGGTATTTTGAGGAACTAAAAAACCGCCTAAATACAAACAATACATTTGTGGAAGTAAATTTCTAAGTAGAGATATAGAATATACATAATCCCACAAACCTCCTGACATATTATGCCAAATAATTAGCAAGAAATGTTGAGATGAAGTATAGTTACCTTGAATCATTCTAACTACAAAATTAAAAACAAATCTTACAATTCTAAAATAAAAGTAGCTTTACTGAAAATACAAAAATAGGCCCAGAACAGTTTAAAACCATACCAAACCATTTGGTTTGGGTTTGAGTTTTGCACAAACTGTTATCAAGGATTTTTTTTAAGGTTTGGAAATGTGTCAAAAGCTGCCCAAACTGGACTGCTTATACTGCTAGGTGGCAGTACTCTTTTCTTCTCTGTTGATATAATTATGAAATGGATTAGCTTCAGATAAATTGCTGGAGCGTCCCTTGTATAGAGAGGTAATAAATTATTTAATGCCTGATTATCTCAACCTGAAAACTGGAGAGTTGATACATCACACACACGGTATACAATTGGATTCTGGACATTGTTTCTGCATTTTTTTAAAATTTGGAATAAAAAAGTAATTATGCATATCATAGCTCCATTCTCATTAGCATCTATGCTATATTTTTTGGATGTTCTTGCTTTTATCTTAACTTTTTTGGAACTCTAATAATTCGTAATTAGAAGTGATGTTTGTGGGTTGTGTTAAAACAGAGTTGGTGAATATGCATGTACAGCCTACGTGACATTCAAAGATCATCATGCTCTGGAAACAGCAGTTTTTCTCAGTGTGAGTTCTGTTGGTTTGTATTTTGTCACTCATTCTTGATGGCACAGGCATGCAGGGTTTGGTATGTAATAGGGATGCTTACATCCAAGTTGGTAATTTTAGTTCTTTACTACTTTCATGATTTGTCTCCTGACATATTTTGTTTATCGACCAATACTGGGCTGCCTTTGAGCTTTTCATTCACATTTGAGGTTGTCTGCCCTATTTATCGTCCATAAGGGCTATTTTACCATCATGTTGGTATGAACTTTTTGTTTATCATTTCTTTTCTTTTGGCATATGCACTTCACCATGAGAACATTAGCTCTCTTTTCTTATGAATGATATTTTGCTTCCAAAATGGGAAAAAAATGCTAATTAAGGTCATTTAGGTGAAAACTATCTGCACCGTTCTATCTTGTAGTCAAAATTGTCTTGTAGAAGTGACCGCAATACATGATATGGATTAGTACATTGTTCCAGGACAATATTGAGAACATGTTTTATGACTGGTGGTTTTGCTATTAGTGAAGCCTGCTTCACGTTTTATTGTTTCCCATTTTGGCAAGCATTTATACTGTTACGTGGATCTTCATCGTTTTTGCAAGGTTTTACTGTTACATTTCATTATTCTCATCAATTTTATGTCAAGTTGAATGCTTTCGTCATCTATCTCAGGGAGCCACCATTGTGGATCAACCTGTATGCATAACCAAATGGGGACATTACGAGGATGGTGGTGATCTCTGGAATCAGACTTCATGGAACCTTGAAGATGTAAGTTGTCCAAATGTATGCATATTTGCTTTATTTTGTTGTTCAATTTGTTTTTCCTCTTGCTACTTTCCATCAACTCATTTACTATTTTAGCAGCAATCGCACGAACACTTGTTTGTTTCATCTGCTGGGGAAGCTGTGACCATTACTCAAGATGTTGTCAAAACAATGGTAGCTAAAGGATATGTACTGGGAAAAGATGCATTAGGCAGAGCAAAAGCCTTCGACGAATCTCGTCAATTTTCAGCAACTGCAGTTGCTAAGGTTGCTGAATTGAGCGAGAGAATTGGACTTACTGATAAGATTGTTGCTGGGGTTGAAACAGCAAGATCCATGGATCAACAGTATCACATATCAGATACTACTAAATCAGCTGTGTTGGCTACTGGAAGAGCAGCTGCTTCTGCTGCAAATGCCGTGGTTAATAGTAGCTACTTCTCTAAGGGAGCCCTTTGGGTGTCGGGTGCTTTAAGTCGAGCTGCTCAAGTTGCTGCTGATTTGGGTAAACGTGATAATGAAAAATGAATATTGGCCTAAACGGGTATATTCTGTTTCGTATAGCACCTCATTCGTCGCTTTTTCTTGTGTATAAATAAAGTTTCAGATGCACTGAACTTTATTGTTTTAGTTATTTTGGCGTTCCTTTCTGATGGATATCCACACTGCTCTATTTATATATGATAATTATTTGTGCATACCAAAACAACATAAACCTCGCTTTATTTTATTTTATTTTATATATATATAATATAGGAGACTCGAATCCAAGTCAATGTCAATGACTTGGTAAGGTTTCACTCCTATTGACTTGGTAAGGTTAAAAATCTTGTTCAGTAAATTATTCAGACTCATCTAATACTCCATGCTACACAGTGCATAATAGTTTCTTTGGGTAAAAGCAAGATTGCATAATATTTAAATCTTTTTAAAAGAAGATAAAATTTGTCTATTATTCTACAATTATGCTGCATTGCCAGAAATTTTTGTCCACTTTCTTGTCGAACTCTCCATGAGATTCATAGTTGTATTACTTATAGCTTCCTTGTTATCATTTTATTATTTAAAAAACAATCAATTTTTACATTAAATCATTTGCTGTCAACATTGCATCTGTCAAGATTAAAGTGGCTTAATTCATTGTTCTATCAGTTTAGTGCCTAGTGCAACGCAAACCTTTTATGATGAGCTTGCTACCTAGATGCTAGGGGATGGGTGACAGAAGGTCACATGAATTCTTTCTTTGAAAGTCCGAAAAAGGGGCGGTGACATTTTTCTTTGATTCCAAGTTATTAGAACAAGGGAAAATGCATGTGTACAGAAAAACTTTTGAAACCATGATACAACACCCCTTTCTTTTTCACTCGTCAGGACAAACTTTTGTCTCTGTTCCCTTCATGAAAATGACATCTTCCAACCCTCCTTGTTTTCTACTCTTCCATCTTTCTGTCCTTTTTCTATCTCGAAAGATGTATTTGATTCCCTCTCTTTCTGAGTGTGAAATTCATTCAAGAAAAAGAGAGAATGACTTTGCTTAAGATAAATTTGAAAGCATTAATTCTGTTTTCTTGTACATAATCATTGGAATTGGGGACATCACCATGATTAACATAATTTGCAAAAACATGTAAAGCGAAGATGGTCAATATACCTTCATTTGTATACCAGCCTAAGTACCAAAATCAAGAATTCAAATTAACTCATAAATATCATGATTATATCCATATCGATTATACTTATTTATAGGGCCATTAGGAGTTTCAGATTAACTGAAATGATGTTGGTCTAGCCATGGCCAAAATCCGGTTTGATCGTCCATGCCACATAACATTCCGCAAAAGCTTTCTTCTTTCACAGTTTGGTCCGGTTTCTGGCACTGAATATCAGGTCTGCACGACGTCTGGAAAAGTTGTGCTGCACCAGTAGGCCTCATTGAAGGTGCAAAGAGGGTTCTTATTGAGGGGTGTGCAGATAAAGGGCTGTCATTTGCTGGTGTTCTTGAAATGTCTAGCTTAATATCAGAACTGTTTTCACTTCTGATACTGCAAGAACCTTCCATTTCTTTGTTCAGATTGATTTCTGTCGGTTCCCTTTTCTTTAGTGCCATTATCTGCAACAATAAATTTATTAATCTAATACGAAGTTTAAAATCTTTTGTGTAAATTATGATGCTTCCAAGATTTTAAGTCTAGCATATTCTCATATTTAGATTGATAATAAATTAAGATAATCATAATCTAATAATTGTGTCTCATGATTTGTTTGGTACAGTTGAAAAAGAAGTTAAATTCTTGTTTACCGTATTGTTCAGCAGTCGAAACCAGATGCTCTGTGATTAGTACCAATCCATTTTCACGTTTCATGTTTTTTGGATCTAATGTTACACACGCATAGAATAGTTATATTTTTTACATACCTCAGCTTGAAGTTTCTGATTCTGTGCTTGAAGGGCATCATTATCTGCTTTAACAGCTTCAAATTGTCTCTTAAGAACGTCATAATCTTTCTCCAATTGCTTTGTCTTCCACCTTGCCCTCCTGTTTTGAAACCAAATCGCAATCTGCCTCGGTTGCAGGCCCAAAGCCCGAGCCAGCTGCATTTTCCTCTCGGGCTCGAGCTTATTCCCCAACTCGAAATTCTTCTCAAGTGTCTTCACTTGATCCATGTTAAGCCTTCTCTTCTTCTCTCCCCCTTGTAATCCATCGTCCGACATATAGTCCTCCGCATGATTTTCTTCACAAACATCGGGAAACACCGACGATCTCTTCCCCTCAAGTGAAACCACACCTGCATCAGTTCAAGAAATGTCAAAAATCCAATTTAGATGTTGAAACATATGTACACAGTTCATGTAAGTATATGTAGAGAGAGAGAGAGAGAGAGAGGACAATGGAAGTCTTGAGGGTTGCAATGGGGAAGAATTGGATTGAGAGAAGTGGAGGGCTGATGTTCATCTTCATTATGAGTTTGTAGCGTAAAATTGGCGGGGAAGAAGGCCATTTCCATGCAATCACGATCTACCTGTCATACTTTTAGAGAGAGAAAGGAAGAAAAATTGTATGTGTGTGTGAGAGAGAGAGAGAGAGAGCTGTATATATGTATAGACTCGATATATCCTTTCATACACAGTTCATAGTTAACATCAAAGAGAAAAATAATGTGGCAAGTTGGAAGGAGACTCATTCATTGCTCTAATAGGTAGCTTATATACCTTATATCTTTTTTTCTTTTTATGTTTTTTTTATGTGAGCATGTGTATGAGTGAGACACGTCTCTTTCGTCATTTCATGTTTTTCGTATAGTTTTCCTACCCCTTAATTTCTGATGTCCCTTTTATCCTCATGTTAGAGGTCGAGCTTAGCGTTTGATGAACATGGAAGAGTACATGTCACAATCCACCGTCTAGGAGGGGATATAAAAAAAGTGGCAAAGTTTTTGAAAAGTTAAATTTATTGCGTGAAGTGTGGTGCAAAGTTTTCTACATGGACAGTTGTCATTGAATTTAAGTAAAGAGGACAAGCACATTCTTTTATATGTTGATTCCTTTGCTAAAGTGGAGAAAATGGGCTCAAACTGTGTGTGTGAAAGGGAAGTGGGTGACGTACTGAGAAAAAAAAGTAGTAGTAATAAATGATTATTATAATAGTTTATAGTCCTTGATGGTTGAATTTAATTTTAAAGTTTAATTACGATTGGTGGACTGTTCTTAGAATGCTTAAATGATTAGTTAATAATTTAGAGAAGAGTCTTGAAACTCACACATAGCACTTGAATAGTATAAGAGACGACTAATGATGAAAAATACGATTAATGTTATCTATTATATTGGATAGTATGCCTATTAAGCTTTTTGTTGTAACGTTTGTAGCGGGATGTTTCGACATCCGTATTACATGATTCTCGAATCAATGTATCAATGTTGGACCGTGGAACGAAGAAAGAAAGCACGAGAACATAGAATTGGTCGGGTTTTTTGGAGCATGAACATAACTAACTGCCTTTATTTTGAAGTTCATTTTTTTTTCTTTTAAAGCAAACGTGGTGGAACCGGCTTAATTGACCATTTGAGGAATTGAAGAGTGAGAATCACTTGCCAATTCAAATTTCCCGTGGACGAATTAGTTCATGAAGTTATCTCTGGTTCAAGCAAGTCTTCAAATGGAAGGCATGAAGTTACTAGCACTTTGAATAAAGGAGAATTGATCCTACAAAAGATATGAATTAATAACATGGGGTTGGTTTGTCATTCAAAAAAGGATCCAGTTACGAGCCTAATTGAAATCGATGTGGGTTTCATGGATTCAACGTCGTGTGCAACCAAAGCTTCTAAAAGATGGAGCACTAGGGCCTTCCCAATGCAGGTTATAGAATTCAGGGTAGAGAGGTGTTTTATGCTTTATGGACACATCAATGGGGAAATAGATGATTCGATGGACTATCCTGGTTTGAATATGGTCAGTGATCATCATAAGTTAGTTTAGACAGCGATAAAGAGTGTATCAAGTACCTAACTAGGCGCATGATGATACACAGTAAGATCCGAGCATACAAAATTTAGTACTCATTTTAATGATTCTTTGCTAGCTTAATTAAGTTCAACCCCTCCTAATTTGTACTTTATTTGTTCTTGATATTAATAAATCATGCCACATCGAGCGATCAATTAATATACAAAACGCTGTCCTTTCATTTCAATGCGGTATTAACAGCTTTGTGGCTACATCTAGATCTAGTGCTATTTGGTGGATAGGAACATTCAAATCCAAAACAGCCGAGTTGATTGCTCTATGAGAAGGTGACGGAATGGCGAAAGTCTCCGCGTTGGATGCTGATTTGAGCAATGCAATGCATGAACAAGGCGACTTTTGTGTTGCTGTTCTCGTTGATGATATTACAGCTCTCCTTGTTGTGGCTAATTGTGATCTTGTCACTTCATTCCATGGCAATAAGGTGGTCACAACTTAGCTTTTAATGAGACTTCGATATCGAGTATTTGTACTGGGCTGATTCTTGTCCTATTTATTCTTCGTTTGTACGGGACAATATATCTTAATGTTATTTCCTTTTGATTTCATTAAATCTATAAAATTTTGTTCATTACATTGTTAATTCATCTTTAACACAATGTCAAAGAAACTTAAGTACCCGCACGTTAAGCGCTAGTAGACAAAAGCAAGAGAGAGGGGATAGGCAGGAATCTACGGAGGAGGCAGGAGATGCCACCCAACCTACCAACAGGTAGTGTGCAACAGGACACAGCCTCATTTCCCATCTCATGAGCAAGCATTCAGATAAAGATAGAAAGGCAAATAAAGAAAAGCCCAAATACCTTTCTTTCATAACCCCACCGAGCTGGTCTTGTCATGGTACCACCACACAACTGTCCATTTCCATGCCATCTTCCTAACTCTTCTCTTAATTTACCTCCTCTATTTTTCACCCCATGTTAACTTTAGTTTATTGCGTCATTTCTTTTACGAAGGATTTAGGTAATACACGTTTTTAAGCCTTGAAAAGGGGATTTTGTTTTGTGTTTTTGCTTACCGGTGATTTTTAGAACCTTTTTACATAGATTACTCTCTTCATCTGTTTCGATAAAAATCATATTTTTAGTAATTTTTTATAAAAGTTGATGAAATGTACTGTGACTAAAAACGAATTTGATGAAAAGTGACTTTTAGAAAATTGGGGGCCAAACGTGGACTAGATTATACGTTCTTACATTTCTAAGAGAGGGGAACAACATGGGACACTTTTAAGGAAATAAGCCTACACATTTTCAACTTTTGAAATTTGAACATGAGAACAAATTGATCAAATTTTCCCTATCATATTAATGTTTGATTTAGATTCATTTTATACTTTCCAATATAGGATAATTTTTCTTGGCTTGAAATCTGCTTAATAGTATATCATGCCAAATAAATTAATAACATCAAACTTTCTTGTGGGTGTAGATGAAAATATTACAGATGTGACAGAATAAACACATTGTTAAACAATCAACAAAAAATATCCATGTATATTGTAATGAAGTATTCTAATTATTATATTTGCACCATTTTTATTTCTTCTTCCAACTTAAGTCATTCTAAAACACAGCTTTTTCTAGTAAATATTTGTATATTCACGTCATAAAAAATGTGTTTTATGTACATGTGTTACACGATAGAATCTCTAATTTTCTCGAAAAAAATCATTACAATTGCCATATTAATTTCAGAATGGCAATATTTATGTACATGTATCATTGTATCTATGACCCAACTGGTATGTGGATAGTGAAGTCTAGATATCACTTGACACTATCAAGAAAGGAAAGAAAAAACTAAGGATCCGTTTGATTGCAAACGTGGAAAATGAGTGGAAAGAAAATGTTTTACTGGGAATTGAATTGCCTAGAATTTGTTTTTATTGGGAATTGTAATTAATTGTGTTTGATTGATATAATTTTTCACCTGAAAAATGTTGAAAGTTTGGTATCCGTTTGATTTTGTTTTTCATGGAAATTGTCCATTAAATTGATAATTTTTTCTACCATTAGATTTAGAATTGGTTCCATTGCAAAAAAATAAATAATAAATAATAAATAAATAAAATAAAAAATTATTTTTTTAAAACAATTATAATACCGAATACCATTCATTTGACTTTGTTTTGCATGAAAATTGTCAATAAAAGTGATAAAAATTTGTGCTTTACTTATTAATCAAACAGTTAAATGTAACAATAACACACGATTTATGGTTAAGGTTACCTAGTAGTCATAAATCACACAATATCACAAGCACAAAACAAAAATTGTAGGTCACAATTACAAATTTAATCATAAATCATACATTTTTACATGTCTCAAATTATTAATTATCACAAACTATCAAATTAACTAGTCAAAGCTATCTACTTAATATACTCACCCCACTCCACCAAAAGCAACACCACCTAAATTTTCACTGTCACCTCAA